ACATAATATAAAGCTCTAGTTCACGGTTACAATACCCAATACCTATTCGTAAATTAGTATCAAGTTATGTTGTAAATACTTATTGTAATATAAATAAACAACCATGACAACGTAAATCTAAAGAATATTTGTTTAGGAAAAAAAATAGTTTCAGTAGGACCCCTCCCCCCAAATCACGGCATTTTTAGAATAAATTTATTTATTATAAGAAAACTAAAAGTTATGGTACCTGTAATTAATTATATTGTACTTAAGTATGATAAATTATTTATCATAATAAAATAAATAGTATATATTTCAATTATCTAAGACCTTTTAAGTTTTAGTGATGTAAACTGTTACATGTAATTCTGATAAAAGTAATTAATTATACATTYTTWATTTTAGTATATTCTAAAATCAGTGATGCAGCTGAACATTATCTAATGGGGTACCTATACGAGAAGTTGGRAATATGAGTATTTCTACGAAATTATTGTTGATATAGGCTATATCATATATAGCATACAGACAAGAACAAACGATATGTAATGGACATCACGCGGACAATATCATTATCAGTAGGTAAATAAATACTGATGAAAGCTCTCAATATTCAATTTTTTTATCGCCTCATCGGTCATCAGTGCCGTTTTTCTATTTATTAACAGTATACCAGAGCTCACTGCAGTATCACAGTATCCAAAATAACTTCAGGGGCGATCGCATGAAAAAAATTCGGTGGGGGGAGGGGTTTGAACAAATTTAAAGTAGGTATTCATAGATATCATATTATTCATACTTATATAAAATTTGTCAATTGAATTTAAATTATAAAGCAAGATCTAACCTAACCTAACCTTGCGCAGATATGATCTAACCTAACCTAACCTTGCGCAGATATGTTTTCAATCTTCGAAGACAAGAAAAAGACCGTTCCTAACCTATTTCCGGGAGGGGGGGGGTTAAACCCTCCCAAACCCTCCCCTGCGTTCGTCCCTGCTGTCAGTACTTTACTAATATTGACCGTGTGAGGGCTGTTATAACAATCTTCTATCACCATCGGTAGGTATTATCGCCRTCACGTATTTTATCGAGATGAAATATTATAGGTACATTGTGATGAGTTACTGTTTCCTAAAGTATTCCAATGTTAAACGTTGCCAGTATAGAACGGAGCTTTTCAACGTTGAAACGTTTGAAATCATACTTAAGAAATTACATAGGAAAAATCGACTTAATGGATTGACTCACCTAAGYATCCATAAAGATATAMCAACTCAAAGTAATGAGGTAGTCAATATTTTTTCGGAAAAAAAAATAAAAAGTTAATGTTTTACAAATAATATAAAATAAATATTAGCCTTATCCCCCCCTTCAAAAAAATAAATAGATTTATGTACCTCACTGTTTATAGTTAATATCATACATTAATATGGATATCCGATAAATATATAAATTAATACGTGTATTTATACTTACACTAGATTAACAGGAATTTCATGATACACATCATTAAACATTTCTCTCCAATTAGGTTTATTTTTTTTTGATGCAATTGTAAACGACTGCATCAACTAAAATAAATTAATACAAATAAAATAAACATAACAATTGTAATATTGTATGGTGTTTTTATAAAAAATATTGTTTAAATATATTTACTTGTTTTTTAGTTTCCTTTGCATATTCAACTTCATTTTGTTCATTCCAAAGATTATTTTTCTCGAGTAATTGCTTTAATCTTGTAATAGGATTGTTGTATGACCATTGCTTAATCTCGTCTTTAGATCTGTATGCAGTACTATCATCAGAAGTACTGTGATGTCCCCGCCTAATCGRATTTTAAGTGTATAATTAATTTCATAAGCAACAGACATAATCTATTTATTACGAAAAATACCTATATGTCATAGCTTCTAAGATAAGTGGTCTTGWGTTAGTCATAACATATTCTCGAGCTTTTATAATTGCATTATACACTGCCAGAATATCATTGCCATCGACACGAATAGTAGCAATTCCATAACCAGGACCGCGACTTACAATACCATCGCCTYTATATTGTTCACTTGCTGGCGTTGATATAGCATATCCATTATTACGACTAAATATAATTGTAACATTATTTTTTCAAACAATGAAACAGTAAATTAGTTTTAATTTACCAAAAAAATATTATTGGACAGTCTAGAGTAGAYGCAAAATTAAATGCAGCATGTGCATCACCTTCGCTTGCAGCCCCCTCACCAAAATAAACAATAGTACAACGATTGACTTTTGATCTTTTAAACGAATATGCTGATCCAACAGCTTTAAAAAAAAAAACAATATTTTCTTAGTTTAATGTTTCATTCATTTTAAAGTGTATGGGGTATCATTGTATGTATAGTTTATACCTTGAGGTAATTGAGTAGTAAGTGGTGACGAAATTGTTACAAAATTATGATTTTTAGACCCATAATGTACTGGCATTTGTTTTCCTTTACCAAGGTCATCTACATTTCCAAAACATTGATTCATAAATTCTTCAGGTGTAAAACCTCTGAATAATAAAATTCCTATAAATTGAATTATTCAATATTTGTATAGAAATTAATTATYTAATAAATGGGTGAAGACGATGAAGTATAATACGTACCTGCTTCTCTGTATTGCCCATACACAAGATCATTAAAATGTAATCCTGCTGCACTACCAATTTGTGCAGCTTCTTCTCCTTCATTTGTCATATAAAACGATATTCTACCTTGTCTTTGAGATTCATACAACATTTTATCCATTATAGATAACAAAACCATAGATTTATACATTTTAACCAACTCATTATTTTCTGGTATCTGTAATTAAATATTTCGGGTATTAAGTACGATAAGTAATTATTATTTCATACTATACTTACAATTATAGATTTACTATYGTTTAAAATGTCCCCAGTATCGTTCAAAATTCTAAAACTAGGTATAGGGTTATTTGAAGATGGTTCATGTATATCTAAACTGGATGTAAAGTCAATTTTATTGATTCCCTGTAATTCAGACTCTTTAATGTTAGCTGATACTGTACTTCTTCGTATATATTGTTTCTATAACATATTTAAACAAAARCAAATTAATAATTAACTCTGAATAATTGTTTTAAAATGTAGATTCTAGTAGGATAAATTTGAGGGATCTTCCTCATTTCTTATTCGGAAATTATAAACAGAAATATAAAATATTGACGATTCCAAAATTCAAAAAATTTAATTATTTCATTGAATTTTGTTATAATTARCGGGTTAGAAACCCTTTTGAAAATTTAACAAATAATTACGAAAATAATGTAAATATAATAACACTCGTTATAGTGCAGCGCCGGCACTATGATTTTAGAGGCCCTAAGCCCTTTACAATTTATAAAAGCAAGATTGCAAGGCTCTCTCCACTCAATAAAACTACAATACAAAATCGCGAGGCCCATTTTCGTCGCACTAAGCACGGTGCAATGCAGCGTGGTCGCACTACTCGCACTTCGTGCACTCCCCACGCGCTGGTCCTTGTAATAGATTAGAAAATTAGGTACAACATTCTTAAAAATGATGTTAAGTATGGTAAAATTATAAATCATTAAGCTAGATTTTAGATTTGTATTAAAGATCAACTTATATAGGGTACTAGAAAATATTGATAGAGAATTCCGCCTTTTGTTTAATAGCCATTAACATTAAGCACCTAATAGACTCATTTTACATCTAAAATAGATTGGTCATAACTCAATAATAGAGGAACTTAAAATTGAAAAAAAAATGGAATTATAAACTAACTTGATTTTTTTAGGATTCATACCCTACTTTTTATTTTTCTAAGCTATTTTATAATTTTTATTTTTAAAGTTTATGTTAAATATTTATTTGTAATTTTTACGGTATTTGGGAATCGCGATAACCGACAAGTACCTTATTTTGTGATATTGCCACTGATTTTTTGTGATTTGCCGAGGCAAAGATTCTCACTATTCACTGCCAATTCCCAAATACTCAGTAAATTTGTACTGATTTATATTATTAACATGATATTTTTAATCACATATTATCTTAATTTGAACAAAATATTTTCGACAGTCACAGTGGTACKAAGTTTAARTAATTTCATTATCAAGTACTTGTACAATCAAATTGGTGTTAATATTTATAATTAATATTATATAATAATATACATATATATACTGTATATATTTTTTGCCTAACCGCAGCCCACTGCTCATTATTGTGATGCAGAATTTTAGCACAGCGGCCCAGTCCGGCCCTGACGCTTAAACACATGTCTATAAAAAAATTTCGGYTGAAATGCAGGYCGTATCAATATTTTCAGAATGGTTTATAGTATTTAAAAGCGTACTTAATAATTATCTTTGGTATATTTAAATATATATATTTTTTTAATTTATACATATTATGAATTAATTTAATATAAAATATTTATTTTTTTTAACCACAAAAAATTTGCAATTTGTATAAATGTATGATACTAAATAACAAACGAATATGATAAATAATATAAATATGTAACTTAAAAGGCACGACTAATTCGGTACCATGATTGAAGGAATATAGGCTCACTCACTCAATAGCAAGTAACAATGATGCAAAACTCACGGTATAATATTAATACATAAGTACCTACTATTTCAATGTTTATAGTTAATATGGTTTTTTAGTACGATTATAATGATATAGGGATGTTATATGCAGACATGCCAGTTTTGCCTAAGCCGTATCGCCTTATTACACAATATACATCAATAAAGTTTTTGATTAATTATATGTTTAAGTTAAAATATACATATATATAAATGACTGTTCTTAAGTCTACTAAAATAAAATTATTTATGTTATTGTTATTGTTATAGTCAAAATATTTTGAGCGTATTACTTTAAACAGTTTTATGTTGATCAGTCTCTTAAGCATAATCTCTGCAGAAAACATCATGATCATTCTAATTAGAATTGTTGTGCAAAAAATATAGTAAAATCGTCTTGTTTAGTAAAGAAGCGATTCGATATCGATTAATAGGTTGCTACCGGTGTACGAACGATGAAATATCCTAACGTCTGTCAGTGTTAAACAAACTTTCCGCGTCCGCACGGATAATCTTTTTTAAATTCGGGTACTTAAACAGTAGTAACACCGCGAACAAACTGGTCGGCAACAATAACAGTGCGTCATGAGTGAATTAAGTATTGACACCTGTAACCTGCTCTGGTTTATCTACGTGACCGACGCTTCCGCGGGCAACGAGCCCCGCTCACCTGCCTCAAAGTCTCATGCGCAGACGTGCACACAGGCGCACAGCCATTAGAATATGAGCAACGGAATATTAATATGTTCTATAGCAATGATGATGAGACATGAGCCGCACCACAGGTCAACATTTAAACATTAAACGTCGACAACGGCGCAGCCATGAGCCTTGTTACGAGTACCTGATTGGTCGTTGGCAGGCAGTGTACGGTGTCGGTAGTCGGTGCTTGGTTAGCACTTGGCACAGAAAAGAGATAGGTTCACTTWACAGCGGGGTGTAGGCGACGCACGCGTGTTTACTGTTTATATTRCATACCGCGGTAGACATGTACATAACACACGTCCAKCGTTAACCACAGTGCCACCGACGCGCGGGACTGCATGTTTGGGGTTGCCGGTATTGGGCGCACTGACGTTGAACTGACGCCATCGAAGAGTCGAGTTTGTGTTGATTCGTTTGTTGTTGTGTTTGGCGAAGTGGTTCCAATTTTTAATTAGTTATTATTTTTCATTGTAAGTGAGTTTGCAGACTTGRTGATTTTCCTCCGYTCCATACAGAGTGATCAACTWTTATATTAACAACAACACCGTACTTGACTTCCTCGGTGTGTGCAATTGCCCCGTATATTCATTGCTGCAGAGCGTACGGTCCCCTTACTCATTGCTCTCCGCGCGTTCGACCCGTTGTCGGAGATCAGGCGCATTTCAGTTATCGGTTTTGGCTGTTATGGGCGGAACGCCAAAGAATATTCTTCACTTGTTTCAAAGAGTGCCGAACAACGTTGCCCGCTGCTAGATCGAGTAATACGCCAAGGTAAATACCTCTCTTTAAGCCCGCCATCATTTGTCGTCTAGCTTAGTCTGTCGGCGCCCGTTCGTTACTCTAGATTGACAGTCTTTCGTCTACCGTGTTAGTCGGTATGGGTAGTTTATGACCCTTTAACGCCCTTAATTTCGAGACTATTCGTACATCCTTAAAATAATYAGTATACTTAACAAGGTCTACCATTTACCTTAACTGACAGTTGTCTGTCGTCTCCTGAAGTTGATATTTTAAGTAATCAAACATTAAATTTGATTGTGGTCCAAAACTTAAGGTTTCTTTGGCACCGCGATCTGAGAAAATGGCTTTGTACCATGTATTATACTACCTGTTAGGTTCCAATGTTGAGATTTTACGTAATTATCTTGGACTTGGTAAATTCTAAATGTCTCAAAACATAATGTGTAATACATCTAATATTCTTTTAACTGTTATCTAGTGCGCTTAGTAGTTTTTATTTTGCGTTTAATGCCTTAAAATTATGTGGAGAATGGAGATATTATATTTGACAAGTAGTAATATGTTATAGAAAATAATAAACCCATTAATATGACCAAATGCCTTATATTATGTATACCTATATGTAGCCTACTATGTACCAAGTCTAAATGCACTTATAATAAGCTTTAATGAACATAATTTGTTGATGAACTAACATTACTAATAATCATARTTTATAATTACCTCATGAAAATAATTATTAAAATTTGTTGGTGTGTGTCATTAAAATACTTTTTTTTATTTATAAAGAAAATAAATATCATGGTCTTAATATGTAGGTAAGTAGGTATGGTATACAAATACTATGTCTATTGTGTATATTTTTATAGTTAAAAGGATMATAATTGTAATAAGATAAGATAATTTCAACTAAATTACATAAAAATATATCCGGTATTGTGGTTATGAAAACATTTTGGTCTAAACGTTGAGCAATTTGTATTAAATTATTGATGACAGCTGATACTAAAATAAATTATTAAGCTAATTGCAATATGTAAATAGTCTACATAAATACATTTTTTATTTTTAGTAAAGTTAATTTAAATAATTATACTTCTTTGTCAAATCAATCTAAAAAAATAACATTTTTTGTAAAAAAAAAAATGGTTAATATGGATCTATTTTTTTATATTTCAGATTGAATTTACCTTTTTTAACATGAATAGTATTGGAGCAATGAACTCTCCAGTGAAGCAGCCTTTGCCAACAGTATTGGCTCCTCCTACTATTTCAAATTCTTCACCTTCCAAAGTACAACAACCACCGAATTTAACTCCACTTAATTTAAATACTTCTCAATCAGCTCAACCGTTGAGTCTAGTTCATGAACATAAAAATATTCCGATTGTTATCCCTTCACCTATTATAACTCCTGTTGAAAATATTGTTCCAAAATCTACTGCTTGTAATGGTATACCTGATACAAAACCGATTGGTGAAAAAATTGAAGAAGCCCTGCCCAAAATTGAGTCACAAGTACTACACAATCARGTTAATAATTCCACCAGTGTTAAAAGTGCAAATGAATCTCCTCTTTCTGAAGTGAAACCTCAAGTATCAGAAGTTGAAAATCTATCTCAAAAGAAAGATGATAAGAATAACTTACCAACWGTTCAAACCGATAAGGTAGTTTTGCCAGAAGTCATTTTAACATCTATAAATGACCCGATTAAACCTGAAGAAATTAATAAAACTGAAAATGCAGTTTCCAAACCAAAAGAAAATGATACAAAACTTAGTCAAGATTCTGCTGAAAAGACTACAGCTGAAACAAACCAAGGGCCAACATTACCTCTTGAAAAAACTGAACAAGCACCTGTAAGCACTTCAAAAGTTGGTATACGGCGAAAAAGAGAACATAAAGTAAGTCTTTATGATTAAAGTTTTTAATAATAGTTAAGATGTCAATGACAAGTGTTTAAAAACTACTATGAAGATAGTATACTGTAGATTGTATAAATATTTATGGAACATTGTCACTTCATAAATAGCTTCATTATATATATATTAATTTTATTGTATACTTTGAACTAAAGGTTTCTATTAAGTAATTAGGTTTAAGTTATCCAATGTTTATTTATTTATTTTTTATTATTTCAAGCAACTAGAAGAAGATGATGAAAAKAAGGAAAAATCATTGAAAAAGGATGCTCCTGTTGAAGAAATTAAATCTAAGCGTACTAGACTTCCTACACAACCTTTCCAATTATCATTACTACCAGAAATGCATCAAATCTCCAAAATTTCTGAAAAAACTCTATCTCCAAAAGTCAATAGTGACAAATTAACTGTGTTTTACAAGTAATATTTTAGTTATCTTTACAATTTTATACATCATACATTTTTTTATATTAATCAAAATATTAATTAATCTTCAGAAATGAATTTTTGGCTGTAAGAAATGAAGAAGGAGGATTTTACTTATGTCAAGCTATGCAAAATATTCATAGAGCTAGTCGCCGCATTCGTATTCGATGGCTAACTCAACATCCAAATGATGAATTTACACCAGATTTTTATGATCATACAGGTAAAGTAAAGACTTTGAATAACTACTTTATTTATATTTTTTTTATAGATTTTCTCTTCAAAAACATATTATTACCATTGTGTGTAATTCATTGTATATATTTACAGTAAAAACTCCTTATAATAGATCCTCTATAAAAACGGAAATCTCCTTATAATAGAAAATCACAGTAATTCCTTTTATTTTAGTTTCCGTATAGTAAAAAATCAGTCGGTACGTTATGATTCCGTTATTAGGAGGTTATACTGTATATCAAATAAATAATTAAAAGCTATTATTTATTAAAGAAATCATTCATAGAGTAGTTATCTTTAAGTTAGTGTGTAATATAATTGTTTATCAATATTGGATTTATAAGTAAATCTCATTTTAATTAGAAATTTAAATTAAATTTATTTTTTGTCACTTCATAAATGATAAATTATATTTTTTAGAGTTTGATTGTATTTTGACCAATATAACATTGAAAAAAATACAGAAAGAACAGTGGAAACTTCCTGAAAAAGAGAAATTAAGAATTGAAAATATTTTGAAACGATCTATTGATGTTGAAAAAGGATCAGAAAAACCTTCAGTAACTGAAGAACATCCAGATGGCCGTATGTATTATTGTTGTAATTAAAACATTTGGTTCTGGTTTTTATATCCACTGGTCCTAGGCCATTCAGGTTTTATTTAATTTTTAGATTATAAATATATATTTATTATTTGAATTGGACGGGTCCGGTGGGGACATAATACACCTGTACCAAACATTTTATTCTATTATTATTAATGCTGATGTTTGTTAGTTATTGTTAAATTCTTATTTTTCAATCACTGTAATCTTAACTTAAAACTTATTTTAGTGGACGTAAGTTTGTTCAAAGATGAAGCTCAACTAACAAAAAAAAAAGGTAGCAAAAAGAGCATAACTGTAAAGAGGAAGATGTCAACTGATGATCAACAACCGGTGAAAAAGTCATCTAGATTATCTAAGAAAAAACCATCTTATGATTTTGGGCATTCGTCATCTGAAAGTGACGAAAATGATGAAGAAGACAATACTAACCAAAAAAAATCATCAAACAAAAAAGTTTTGAAAAAAAAAGTTGTTGCTAAGGAACCTGCTAAAAAAATAATAAGCAATGTGGCAAAACCGAAAGTACCAGTTAGAAAAACTCAAACTCCTGTTAAACCGACTTATGTACTGGCATCAGTTTCATCTGCTGTGAAGAAAAGAGAAATAATTGCTACAAAACAAAAAAAAGAAAATAGTGTTTCAGATAAAAAGTCTTCCAAGAAAGTAGAACCTAAATCTCCAGCTGTTCCACTACCTTCAGAGAGATCGTCAAAGACTAGAAGTAAAAATTATTTTTAACATTATTATTTTTATCAATCAATTAGATCAATTATTATACTTGTATAAAATTTGTAATTTTTAAAATTTCTGCGGCTCAATTTCCTTTTTAAAATAATGCAAAACCTCATATTATAGTGGCTCAGACTTAAGAACAACATAGTTTATGTTCAGCTACCCTAACTTAGTTGCTTTACCTTTAATATCAAAATTAAATCCAAAGATATTAGTAGAGCTACCTCAGCTTCTTCAATGCTCTAAAAAAATAAAAAATGATTCAATGATTTCAATAATTCAAAACACCAGAAAAAAGACTTCTTTGCATCACACTAGATATTAGCTAAGGCAMTTGGTAGACTTTTATTGATTAAATAAATTAAGTTATATGGAATTGATAATTTTAATTATTTTACTTAGTTATGACTCATATCAAATTTAAATTATCCATAAAAGCTTATGAGATGTTCTTAAATTTAAGAACAAAAAATCTGTTCTGCTATACCTAATTTTGTTAATTGTACATARAATCTTAGTATTAATATTTTTAAATTTTTTTTATAGATGCAGGTAATGCTGTCTCTGCAAAAATAACTACTGCTGGTATTGGAATAGTTAAAAACAACCCAAATGATCGAAAAACCCTAAGAAATCGTAAATGATAGACATCATATAACACTTTGTAAGTAATATAGTCTACTACTTGTTTGAACAATATTGAAAACTTAATTTTGTTAGTAATATTATCAATTTAACTTAATTCTGACTTCTTGAAAGACTACATTTTTATGTTAAACACATACCATATCACAAATTTGTTTTGATGTGTTGATTCACATTCTTGTTTAACTTTTATAATTTTATACTTTTTTTCGTTTATTATTTTTTATTAAGTTTCGAGTAACTTAGGTAGCTTATAATATTAAATTTCAAAATAATCAGAAAATATTATTAGGTAATTATTATTAGGTTCATAATAGTTAATAATTTATCAAACATTTGTCAATCTAAATTATTTCTTKATGTCAATGCCAACAATAAAAATTATATTGTTACTTAATACTTATTATTAGTTGCATCTATGTGTAAAACATATTTATGGTATTTTAGATATCTCTTAATGTTTTTGTGAGTTATATGTCTCATATTTTAGGAACTAATATTATGGAAATCTATGTTTACTTCACATAATACCTTACTTTAGTTTTATGAATAACTATGTTTTAAATACAATTGATTCCCCTTTGTATATTCTAATAATTAAATACATTTATATATGTTCAAATAGTTGCCACTGTTTTATTGTAATTATTTTTTGGCATTGGCATCTTTTTATTAATTCATCCAAACATTATTWAGTTACAAAACTATATTATTTTTTAACTGTTTACTTAATTTACACTTTTTTTTCAAAAACTATTTTAATAGAACTGTGGATGTATCCCAAGTTCTTGTAAATGTATTGACTTTGTATTCCTTACGCACAAAAATATCTAGTTTAAAAAAAAAATTGTTTACTTCCATAAAAAATTATTGTTCCAAATGTTAATTTATTACTTACAGTACAATTCAATTAATAATTATAGAAACAAATTGTAAGCTCTTTATAATAATATATTGTACATAATATGAATTAGGATAATATAGCTAATATACATAGATATATATTTATATAAATATACATATTAATGAATATTAGATTACAATTTTTAAATCTTATATTATTAGTTATGTAAGTTCAGAAAAAAAATGATTGTTTTGAGTGACATGGTTTTGCCATATTTGCAATATCATAATATTTTTATTAATTTACAAGTGTAAATTTTATTGTGTCTKTGTGCTGTAAATAACCATGAACTATTCTGGTATTGATGTCAACCTGCTTTGATATTGTTTGTAAATCTATTGATTTTATTTTTTATTTAATACCAATAGTAGGGGTATGCACATTAGAAAAACATATTTATTTACCAACAACTTTTTAATTATAAAATATATATATATACATAYAAGAAAAAAAATTATTGTAAATATTATAAATTCAATTAATTATTGTAAGTGGATTTAAAAATATATTCAAACAATTTATTGTACATATTTGTGTTTTAGAATTAATGAGTTTATTTTTTTAAAACCAAAGAGTTCAAATTCAATTTGGATACTTTTGGAACATTTCTTATAGTTAATGATATACGTTTATTTCTTGTCAGTGAAATTCTGTTTTGTTTAATTGATTCACAAAATCTTATATTGGATATTTTGTCATCAATGATATCATTGGTAATCTCCTCAATGCCATGCAAATATTCTGTATACATTCTATCCTTCAAAATTAGTAGACTTCGTCTTTCCAACAATAAACTATATACTTTCTCACTAGATAAAACTTCTTTGTCAGTCTAAAAATGATTAAAATATATTAATTAAATATTGAATACATTTTTTGATCCTAGAACCTAAGACTATCTTTTCAGACTAGAAATCTCCATTTTTTTCATGAGTATATTRGCAAATATAATCATGCTATTTATTTGAAAGTGTAATCCTAAAGTGTGGTCTTAAATAAATTATAAATTTATTATGCTCATACAATAGGTTTGTTCGTTTTGACAAAAAGTGTACACTTTTTCATAATGGTGTACACCTGAAGCGTTTGTTTTAGAAAAGTGTTAGTGTACACACTGTTTGTTTTAAAATAGTGTGGGTTTGGTGTGTACACTATCCACACCAACTAAAGTGCAGGTATCGAACTTGATTTTTGGTGTGGAGCCAGTTATTATCATAAATATTTCCTTATCACTCACTACATGCTGACTGCCGAGCCAACCACACCTGAAACGTTTGTTTTAAATTGGCACACCACACACCATACGCAACACTTCTACACTATAGTGTTAACACTTAGTTTTTAAAACGAACAAAGCTAATGGTTAAAATATAAAATCATTTTTTCTTTTTTTTTTGAATAAGGTGAGTGGTATCGCTGATAAGAATCGCCCATTACTGATGTTTTATCATACTTCTTATAAGATGTGATTTTGTACACCAGTTTAAAAATTAAAATGTGTTTGTCCATAAAGATTTTGAATATTTTATTGAAGTCTTCTTGGATAATTAGTAATCATTCTAAAGTATATTTTCAACTATATAAACATAATAGTTTTGAATTTTTTAATAAATTAAGGTCCAAAATCTTTTAGTATCTTTATTCTTAATGTAAAGCAAGTATTACTTTATAATAATTTAATTTTTCTGATAGAAAAAAAAACCTAGATATTAATAAAATCTAATRATACAGTCTTACCTTTATTGTATTATAAAAATTCAGTACGGTATGAGATCCACAGTTAATAGTACTTATAGTAGGAAAAAATAAACTTCCATCTAAATGTGGCTAAAGAATAACATTGGTTACCAAATAATAATTTTTTGTTTATCATAAATTTATACCATGATTCCTTGTCCTGATAAGTATTCATTAATTAACACATGATTTGGTCTGTTAGTCTTAGGAAATACTTGTAAGCTTTCTACTCGATYGACAAACCCTTTTAACCACTAAGTAAAACATAGTGCAGTTAAAATTATACTACATAATTGCAAATAATAATCACACTTACATCAGGAATTGTTTCTGGAATGAGTCCTTTGGCATGAGGTATGCCTCCCCAATTTTGAAGTCTTCTATTTTTCAATTGACACCATTTTGGTTTTGGCGCACCATTTACCTTGTCCATTATGTATGTTTCCTGTTCTTCAGTAATAAAATTTGGTATATAATAAGCTGTATCATCAACCTTAAAAAACAGATACTAAAGCCAGTTTTACTATATTTAAAATAAATAACTGCTATATAAGTAAAATTTTTAATTACTGAAGTCAACTTATTATCATTTAAATTTATATTTTCCATTTCCAAATCTATATTGTAAATATATAAAACATAAATCCACAAGATCACAAATCACGTACAACAGGAAATCATTAGAAAATGTTCTCGTGCAAAAAACTAGAAATTAAAATTTAATTTTTACGAAAATGGACTTCTGTGTTTGTACCATGTGGCATATTGTGCAGGCAGCAAGCTTCTTTTATGTTTATGAATTGTTATAACTGATAAGATTTATAAATTTTTGGTATCACCAATCTGTGTATGATTTAATTATCAGTGACAAACTTAGATGATAATAAGTTGACAAACATTGAGTTAGTGGCCTTAGAACCAAGATTTKTTAAAGATCCTTAAGATAAACCTTCTTTATAGATCTTGCTTAGAACACCTTTTTCTATAAAGCGGTTGAATCACAATTTAATAGATATTCGCCATAACACATATATAATATATATATGAATATATGAAATTTCTTCAATGTATTCATAGTCAGTGGCTATAATCTAATCTATCAGATTAACCAACTGTTAATACAAAAAAATAACGATAACATTTTCTTAACTTTTTTTTCTATATAGTATGCACTTTTGATCTTTACACTTTGAAATGTGCTATCAACATGTTATTATAATATGTTTTTAAAGGTTCAGCTACTAATTAGCTAGTTGGTACTCACTCATTAGTCCTTGTTCAGCTAGTGTTATTGTAAAAGCCATCGTCAGAAAGGTGTCTTTGGAAATATACTATTGCAATTTGATTATTTTGAAATTCGTTGGATAAATAATTTAAGAGAATACCAAGTTCAACTATAAGTAAAAATACGATTTTCTCTATTTAGAGTTAACAATTACTATAAAAGATATATAACTAATTTATTTATTTTGCACAGTATTAACAATAAAACCATTGTCATGATGAAATTCAATACAGGAAAGGTATGCAAAGCTCAGCTTTTCAAAAATTCAATTATGACTATGTTTGAGATATAAATTATATTTACTTTGATGATTTTTAATAAAATATTCTTTCAATAGTGCTTAATAAAAACTTATACCCGACGATCTATATCAACAACTTCAACTATGAGAGATGTTTTCATTGTCAGTGCTACTAGAACTCCAATTGGATCTTTTGGTGGATCATTGAAGAGTCTTTCTGCTACTAAACTAGGTGCTATAGCTATACAGGTGAGTACATAGTATTTTAAATACTATAGTCTTAACAGTAATWTATAAAATTAACATTTATTTGGAAACAAATTTTTAATTCTTAATTTATTTTAATAAAATGGAATTCTATTACTTATAAAACAAAAAGTAATACTTATCTAAATTTGCATATTTTAAACTACAATTTATAACATATAGAATAAAGAATATTGAAAAAAAATCATTAGGTTATTTTAATTTGTTTTATGAAGTACCTAGTGAACAATTTTCATATTTGTGCATTTWTTTATTTTTCATTGTTTATGGGTTGATTAARACTATTAACTTTATTTTTACTGCAGGCTGCTGTAGAGCGATCCGGAATTTCAAAAGATGAAATTCAGGAAGTTTTTATGGGAAATGTATGTCAAGGTGGTGTTGGGCAAGCGCCAGCAAGGCAAGCAACAATATTTGCTGGTGAATTAGTGAATTATTATAATTACCATGCTTAAACAATGTGACAAATTCTATTATTAATTCATAGGATTACCTAAATCAACTATATGTACAACAATAAATAAAGTTTGTGCTTCTGGTATGAAATCTGTCATGCTAGCTTCTCAGAGTCTTATTTGTGGTCATCAACAAATAGTGGTTGCTGGTGGCATGGAATCTATGTCTAATGTACCATATTATCTAGCAAGAGGAGATACAAAATATGGTGGTGTGAATTTATCTGTTCGTTTATTATTTATATATGTTAAACATTCATACAAATGTAATATTTTAAATTTTTTTTTTTTTTTGATTTAACTATTAGGATGGGATTGTGTTTGATGGCTTAACTGATGTATACAATAAAGTTCACATGGGCAGTTGTGCTGAAAATACTGCTAAACAATGTGGTATAAGTAGAGTACAGCAAGATGATTTTGCTTTAAGCAGTTACAAAAAAAGTGCTGATGCGTGGAAACAGGGACTCTTTGCTCAAGAAATTGTTCCAGTCAATGTTCCYCAAAAAAAAGGTGACAAATGTCTCTTTTATTGTAAGCTGATGACTTAAAAATAATTCAATTTTTTAAGGCAAACCTGATATTATTGTTTCTGAAGATGAAGAATTTAAAAGAATAGATTATGAAAAGTTTAAAAAATTGAATACAGTTTTTCAAGTAAATATTATTTTAAATATTACTTTTTTGGATTTTTTTTAAAGAATTTTTTTTAGAAAGAAAATGGAACAGTTACTGCTGGAAATGCATCAACGATTAATGATGGGGCTGCAGCTTTAGTTTTGACAAATGAAAATGTTGTAAAAGAATTAAATTTGAAACCTTTAGCCAGAGTAGTTGCATTTCAAGATGGTGCTACTGACCCTATTGATTTTCCAATTGCTCCATCATTTGCTATACCCAAAGTATGTATGATTACTTTTTTAAAGGTTGCTTTAAATATTGTTATGGAGAACAGAATGTCTTAGTGGACTAATGCTCACCTTCACATCTTTCCCTCAACAAACAACCATACGTCTAGACCAGCGTTTCCCTAACTATTATCYGTGTACCTCTAGGGGTTCACAATGTTCACATGTATGTTGAAGGAGGTTTGCGTAATTGTTAGTCTTATTATTTAGAAGGGGGTATTTATCTATTGAAATCAAAAATTGAGTCAATTTCTTGCAGTTACATTTTTGGGATCCGGTTGAACACATTCACTAATTTATGCTATGGTATTGCATTGTCTGGTATCACAAGCTCCTCAATATTTGGCCACTTGGATTCTCTGCAAAAAACGTGTTCCAACAGTGATCTCTACAAACTCACTAGGCCATATTGCTGATTCAAAAAAAAAAAACCTTACTTTTTTAGTTGAAAGATTTCAGATGAAGCAATGGAATTGATAGGCTTAATATTCATTCAAATTTATCAATGTTTTCATTTTGTGAGTGTTTCACAAACAGTATAACAAGTTGGGATAAGTGATCTTCAAAATGGTTTTCGTGTCTTAAGAAATTTGCTAAATTTAAAAAAAACAACCTTTGCTCATATTTTCATTCATTATTTTTCTTCTCCATAATTATAGTTTTTTKTTTTTTAGTTGAAAATTGTTACATTATGTAACTAATGTCTTATTGTTTCTGTAACATCACAGTGAATTGGGTTTTATGTTGGGGCACATAATTAGGAACTGCTGTTCTAGACTTCTAGTGAGTAAGAGAGATATCGTCATTTCTCCCTCCCAAACCAGACATAAACCTATTAGGTGCCCAATTATACATTTTCCCAAACATAAACCTACATTCAAAATTAATAATAAATATTATAATTTGATTCTAGTTGCTTAGTAAAAGTGGTGTATCTAAAGATGACATTGCTTTATGGGAAATAAATGAAGCGTTCAGTGTAGTTRTCTTAGCTAATATAATGAAATTAGACCTCGACCCATCTAAAATTAATGTACATGGTGGAGCTGTTAGCTTAGGTCATCCAATTGGGTAAATATGTCACTTTACGATGTACATTAATTAATGAATTTTGTCAAAATTTTTTGTTTTTAGGATGTCTGGTGCCAGAATTGTGGTTCATTTGGCTCATGCATTAAAACCAGGACAAAAAGGTGTAGCTTCCATTTGTAATGGTGGTGGTGGAGCATCATCAATTCTTATTGAACGGTTATAATTCTTTATATAATGGATAAGAAATATTTTTACTTAACAAATCTTATTATTTATTATTTAATTATTGCAGTGTCATATGAGTTAAGACTGCAGTTACTTTTTTTTCATAAATATATTTAATTAAAATGATTATTATATTTTTAAACTTATATGAATAAGGGAAATAAAATAAAATACTATTAAAATTTTACAACTATTTATTTATTTAAATTAGTTTGAACAATATAATTTTAATCTTTTTCATAAATGACTAAAAAAGTTTTTTTTTACATCTCGAATTACATTATCTATAAGCTTCAATGCCATATATTTATCTACATGTTTGACTTTAAATTCAGTAGCTTTAAACTGGATTTTATTTTTAAATGTAATTGGTTTAATATCAAATTTTTCCCAGAAATCGTTTAACCATTTTATATCCTCCGCTTGTTCCTACAATAAAATATTATWAAAACAGTATGTTCAATGTTCATTATATTCTTAAATTATGTGACATACCTTGGGAATACGTAAGTATACATGTATGTGCTCTTTATTATAAGCTAAAAATAAGCAAGGTATTTCACCACAAACATGAATAACACTTTCAAAATCATAACAATTGTTCTCAAGGTAGGYTACATCACATTCTACATAACCAACAGCATAGCTATTTTTACATAATGTTTTTACTGCATCACCTAATATCTGCCTAAATACAATAGATTAGTGAGTTTCAATACAATTAAAATATTCAAATTACTTACATCTTTTTTTCTTTTATTAATTTCTGAATTTTTCTTTCAGTAGCAAAGATTTTCTTATTAATTTGAATTTGAACTTTCAATGGTATGTAGTTTTGGGAAATATTTTTCAGTTCTGATTTTAATTGGTTTTTATTATCTATCAACAAATGCACCTAAAGACAAACATTTTGAAAATATTGATTACAATGGTAAAATATTAATATGTTCCCATTTAAAATGTGATAAAATATATATGAATTGGTTGCAATTCCCGTAAAATTTGTGAAAAGACGATATTCATTTTTATTTTATTTTTTTATCCTCCTATGATATGCATTTTAAGGCATTTTACTTTAATAAATGATTTACCTTTGTTGGAGAAATATTATTTAAATTAGTTGAATTCACCAAATCTTCAAACAAATTTGATTTATCCATTAATTGTTGACCAAAAACTCTTACATCTGTACACAGTGGCCCCGTTACTGCCTTTATGGTACATTCATTACTGAGACATTTATATTGGACTATACAAAAATCAATCACATCTAATGTATTTTGAATGTGTGTTCCACAGCATGCTTCTCTTGATATATACATATCATTAACATTGCTGTACATATCTATTAAATGCACTTCATCTGGATACACTTCTCCAGGAAGTAATGTGACATTAATTTGGTTTAAATCATTAGATGTCACTGTAGTTCTTTTAACTGATACTGCAGATTGTATTATACTATTGACTTTTTCTTCTATAATTAAAGCATCTGAACAAATATCAAAAAGGATATGTAATGATTAATGACATCAAACTATAAAATCAATTATTTTGTCAACAATACCTTCTGGTGAGAACTTTTGACCAAAGAGTGCAAATGTGAATGACATAAAATCTTTTTTGATACAGCTTGATAACTGAGTAGTAACAACCAAATATGATTTTAAAACAGAATTTAATATATGAACTGATGAGTGAGCACGCATTAATCCAAGTCTGTAATTTGAATCAACTTGAACATGTAATTCCTTTTCGCTGAAAATTTAATCGCAAGTATGAAATTAATTTTGAAAAATGCAATGTGATAAAAAAGTACCTTAATAATATGGGCCAATCTCTTGATTTAATATGATGTAACACAACACCACTTTCTTCAATTTTTTCTACATCAATGACATCAAATACTAGACCATCGTTAGTTTTAACTATACCAATATCATTTTGTTGCCCACCAGCTTTACAATAGAAGGAAGTTTTATCCAATACTAATGAAACAGCATCTCCTTGCTGTTTGATATCAGTCTCAGTCACAATATTACCATTAATATCAACAATTGCTAGAAKCTTAGMAGTGACTATTGGTGATAAATATGATTCATTGCTATGTCTAATAACTTCATACTTAAAACTATCATCAGTTTTTGGTATATTTCCTATCATATAATTAATTGATTTTTTTCTTATATGTTCAGTGGTTTTTGTTTGTAATTTTTTTAATTTTTCATCAAGTTCATTCCAACTCACTGGTCTTCCTAGAAAAACAAAAACAAAAATATATAAAAGTTATACTAAATCAATAAAAACAAGGGCAATAATGTTATACCCATCACTTGAGATAGCCTTCCAATCGTTTTCTTTTCAAGACCAAATGCATCATACAATGTAAAGGCTGGTATGTTGCTCATATTTTTATGTTTAATTAAGTAATTACAAGCTGGTACGAATCCCGTACATTCTTCATAAGGATTAAAACTATTTAACATTGGACATTCTTTAACCACCATTTTCCAATCTTTCAAAACAGACATTCTTAGTTTGTTAAATATAGTATACTCGTGTTTTATTAAATATTTAACCTAAAAGTAAATACAAATATTTTAGAACCTAAGATTATATTGAAAGTTTAAATTTAAGAGGATACTACCCATACATTTGTTGTCTCTGTCTTACAAACTTACTACGTAATACACACCCTTATATTTAATATTTTTAATAGTGTGCTGTTAGTTTTGATAAGTGAATTGACCTATAATAGAACTTTTTGGTAAGAAAATTATCTATGATTAAGCTTCGGAAATTTTTTGATATTTTTTTTTTCAAGCAAGATAATATAAAATATTAGATTATATTAAAAATCAGAAATTAAGAATTTTCAAAAATTAAAATATCAAATAAAATCCAATGCATAAACACAAACAATTTTCTTACCTAGAGGTTTAATAATAGGTCGATTCATTCTAATATAAAAGTAATAGCATACTATTAAAACTAGTGATTAAAAATGTATAATGTCTTACGTATGTAAAACATGGGTGACATACTCTAAAATTAGTATAGATTAAACGACATTAATATAACTGTCATATAACCTTTTCACTGTTTTTAATCAGCTCTGGATACACATGACCAAGACTATTTGAAACTTCATTAGCTACATCACACATCAAAGCATACCCTGGGTGAATTTTGAAATTTGTTTCAGCCAATATAAATGATTTTCGTATCAGTCTTCTCAATTTATGACTGAAATAGTGACAAACACTTAAATAAACAGTTTAAAACTTAAAAATATTATAGAAACAACTTTTGGCTGGGTAGCATATTATCTGAAAGTGCAATAGTTATCATTCGACCATGATCTGCTAAAACCCGATAGTAAGTATCTAAATTTGTGCCATCAAATAGTCCTGTGTACTTTGATAATCTGCATGCCTAGTTGCATAAAATAATAATATTGCAAAATGAAAAAGTTTGTTTTTTATAAGGTGCATTAATTTCTTACATTAAATATAATGTCRAATATAGAAGAAAATAAATCTGTATCATAAGTAGATGTTTTATCTTGCAGCACCATTGTCAAGCGTTCCAATCCCATTCCAGTATCTATGAAATAATTTGGTAATTTTTGCATAGTGTTTCTTTCTCTAGACAAAATCTAATTCATTAATGGTTAACTTAAAATCAATTTTAATTATAAAGGAAAAAAATTACCGAGAATATTGTATGAAAACAATGTTCCAAAGTTCAATAAGATTTTTCCCTCCAGATGGAGGATAATCAATGTGTATTTCTGTACAAGGCCCACAAGGTCCTGTTTCTCCCATTTCCCAAAAATTATCATTTACTCCTTTCATAACAATATGATCATCATTTACACTGTAATAATATATAAATATTAAGAGGACGCCACACCCGCATGTGCTGTCTTCGTCTTTCAAGTTCGTAACATGGCAAATTTTATGCTCAGCAGTTCCAATTTAGCTCCGTTAGTTCACAACTTGGAGTAAATTGACCTCTTATAAGAATTAAAGGTAACATTATTATCTAGGTTTTCACAGAGGCTTTTTTATTATATTA